AGACCTACAGTATAACAATCAGGAAGTTTCTGAAGCTATAAAAATGATTAAACCAGGAAAAATGTCTGGACCAGACAGACCAACAATGTTACTGGACATACTGGACATAGAAACATGGACTCATAGGAACATAGGAACCTTGAAGGTCTTCTAGTCCAACCCCCTGCAAAAAGGAACAAGACAGAGATGCCACTTTCTTTTCTCTTGTTTATTTTGATTCTTGAAATGCTGAGAAGAGATATAAGGAAAGTTTATTTTATTTATTTATTAATTATTGCGATTTATATGCTGCCTTTCTCCCTAGGGACTCAAGGCGGCTTACAACATGACAAATTCCAATACAAATCACAATGAAATAAAATTAAAATCAGCAACCCTATTAGTTGAGAGCATCGTGAGAGTAAAGATTATTTTAAAAAGAAATTTATAAATTAAGGGCTTTTTGCAGATGATTTGATGTTGGTTTTGGAAGATTCTCTAACGGGAAAAATAAAATAATTTATGCATTAACAAGTTTAGGATCAACAAACAGAAGATGATCATTGATCATGCTTGGTGGACATGTAAAAAAAACCTAGACAATTTTGGATTTGTGCAAAATCCAAACACTGATCCAGAAGATTTTAAAGATTATTATACAATCGAGACCAAAGTTCTTTCTTTTGGTGCAGATGAACAAACATGTGGGAAAAAAAGTCATGGAAGTTTATTTTTGGATATGATAACCACACCAGAATTATTGTGTGTCCAAAGATGGAAAGATATGGTAATATTTATAATGGAAGAATTGTTAGTTTAAAAAAATGATGGGACTTGCTGGGATGGCCAAATGGACTTCTTCAATCAGAAAAAAAGACAGTATCTACATTTATTGCTGACTTGAAATCTCATATGGACTTTTTTGTGTAAAACAGAAAAAAAAGTGAGCTTATATTTTATCGTTTTGATGATTAGACAGAACAGATTAGAGAAAAAAAGAGTCACAGTGTAACTTTAGAGAAATAAGAGGTAACATGTATAATAATTGTTCTCATAATGGCTGTAAAGAGGATTGGAAACCACTTATTTGTATTTCTTTTGTTTTTTGTCTTTTTTTCATGCACTTTTAACTTTTTCTTGTCTTTATTTTATTTTATTTTTATTTTTATTTTATTATTCATATTTCTATGCTGCCCACTCTCCGAGGACGCTGGGCGGCTTACACCAAAGACAGTATACTAAATAGCATATTGCCCCCTAACAATCTGGGTCCTCATTTTACCCACCTCGGAAGGATGGAAGGCTGAGTCAACCTTGAGCCTGGTGAGATTTGATCGGCTGATCTGCTGAACTAGCAGTCAGCTGAAGTAGCTGCAGTACTGCACCCTAACCACTGAGCCACCTTGGCTCTTTCCTTTTTCTTTCCTTTTTTCTCTTTATGCTATAAATTTGCTAGATAAATAAATAATGATTTGGATTAATTTTTAATCTTCATTTTAAAAATGTTTAAATTTTTTTTAATGATGTGTCGTGAAGTCACGATGCAAGCCGTACCCCTTACTCACTAGCACACAATGCCATGAAAGAAAATGTTGGTGATTGCATCATTACATATTATCCCCCATTTCAGTGGTGGGATTCAAATTTGTTTACTACCGGTTCTGTGGGCGTGGCTTGGTGGGCATGGCCAGGGGGTGTGACAGGCAGCATTCGGCCTCCTGCACCATTTTGGACCTAGGCGGCCTCCCTGCACTTACCTGGGAGCCAAAATGGGGCACATGGTGATTCCTGGAAGGGGCATGGTGGGAACCAGCCAGCAATTTAACTACCAATTTGCCCGAACCAGCCCAAACCGGCTGAATCCTACCACTGCCCCATTTCATCATTTCCTCTCCCCCCATTCCTCTCTACGGATGCCCTGGGCCCTGGCCTCAGTCCACCACTGTTGTGTATTCGGATTAAGCACGCTGAGGCGGGCGACTAATAACAGCTGTTTATTAACGTAACGTGAGTATTAACTAGAACACACAATAATAACAGCACAGCGAACGAACGAACTCTCCTCAGACAGAGGCTTATATAGCGAGCTGTCAGATTGTGTAGCCAATCCGACAGCCGGCGGCTCCCGCTACTTTTGTTTCTAGCGGCTGCTCCAATCAACATTCGAAACGCTAGTTAGGCTGAAGACTCAACAAACACCTTCCTTACTGCTCCCCCCATCTGTCGTTCATTCTTCCATCTTTCTAAATAGAGTCCACTGTATGAAAATGTACACGATAACATCGCCTGATAAATATATTCATTTCTGCAAAAGAATGTAATTAATCTCACGTAAAAGATACAGCTGCGGAAGCGGATATTCTTGTAAACCACTAAATCCGTGGATTAAAATGATCAGTGAAATGCATGGGGTGGGGGTGGAAGGAGAAGACAAACAGAATGGTGAGGGAGAATTTGCTATTCCGAATAAGCATCTCTCTCTTTTTTTTTTTTTTACCAATGAAGCTAACAACGTCTAAAGATAATTGTAAAACAGAAAATATCTAAGTGTGTTAAAGAGTTACAGCCTTAGTTAAAATTCTGATTTAAGATTTCATTTATTCTTTTTGATTGAGTGGTTGCGCTGAAATGAGACATGGTGGCACAGTGGTTAGGATGTAGTATTGCAGACTAATTCTGCCGGCTGCCAGGAGTTTGATCCTGACTGGCTCAAGGTTGATTCAGCCTTCCATCCTTTCAAGGTCGGTAAAATGAGGACCCAGATTGTTGGGAGGGCAAGATGCTGACCAGGGGTGGGTTCTACCGGTTCGCAATGGGAAGCTTCTGCACATACACAGATTGCTGATGGCAACATCCAGGGTGGTGGGCGGGGCCTCCCACCGGTTTTACTCCCGGTTCTTGCGAACCGGTCTAAACCGGGGGCAACCCACCACTGATGCTGACTCTATAAACCCCCCCACGAAATGTGAGGTGCGCGCACGCAATGCACACCAAAAGGAGGCAATGCGGTAAGTAGAACAGTGCATGGGGGGGGGGTGATCAGCTGTAGCGCACAATCTTTTTTTTACTTTTAAAAGCATTGCTTTTTAAAGAAAAAAAGCATCTGATTATCATGCTGCTCAGCTGTGATCATCAGAGGCTTTTTTTTTACTTTTAAAAGCCATTTTTCGGCCGAAGAGGTTGTAGAAAAAATGCTTTTAAAAGGCTCTGACGATCCCAGCTGAGCCGCATGATCATCAGAGGCTTTTTTTTCTTTACTTTTAAAAGCAATTTTTCGGCCGAAAAAAATGCTTTTAAAAGTAAAACAAAAAGCCTCTGATGATCGCGCGGCTCAGCTGGGCATGGGCGAGGGGCAGGGATTTTTGGTACCGGTTCTCCGAACCACCCGCCTCCATCACTACCAGATTGGGTGATCCGGTCTGAACCAGGAGCATTTCACCCCTGCTGCAGGGGATAAGCAGACAGATGGTAAGGGGCAAGGAAATGGAAACTATAACCTACTTATTGATTGTTTATTGAAGGGGGCCAGCTATGTATAGCCTTTATTGTCATTGTACATCATGTATTCAATGAAATTAGTTTTAGCCTCTGGTGCAATCCATGACAAAAAAATACAAACAACATAAATAGTAAAAAGAATAATCCCTGTGCAAGTAATTAGGAAAAAAAGAGAAACTAGTCATATGTTTCCACGTGTGCGTGGAGTGATTGTGGTTGTTTAAGAGTCTGATAGCCGAAGGACAGAAACTATTTTTAGACCTATTTGTTTGGCTGGCTATGCTTCGACGTCTTCTGCCTGATGGTAGAAGTGCAAAAAGACATTGACCAGGGTGTGAATCATCTCTGAGTATCTTCCTTACTCTGTTGAAGCAGGGAGACCTGGTGATGTCATCCAGTGGTGTCAGAGGGCAACCGATGGTTTCTTGTGCTGAATTGATCACTCTCTGTAGTTGTTCTGCCCCAGCTATGGGTCCCAGGAAGTGTAGCACACCCACACAGCTCCAAAAACTCAGTTTAATACAAACAGACCCCTTTCAAAATGCAGGCTTTAACCACAAATGTCCTTATCAGCTTGCTATGAATCACAGAGATTAAACAAAGTCCGACAAGGGTTGGCAATCAGCCCAGAAACCAAGTTGTAACAAAAAAACTCACTCTCAAAATGCTCTGCGTAGGACCAAACCGTTGTTTCCACCAACATTTGCTATCTGTGTGCGAACTTAAATAGGCTAAGGGAGTGGCCAATTAGCCCCAAGCCTTACACTCGAGGAGACCTCCTCCTGAGTAACCATTCCTGCCTTTTGGCAGCCCTGCATGCTCGTGCATTGAGAAGAGGCTCCTCCACTTCACTCTCTTCATTTGAAGGAGCCTCTGGAGGTTCTGAAGGCCCTGGCTGAGTCTCTGTCTCTGGCACCACATCTTCTTCAGCCTCTTCGCTGTCCGACTCGAGCGCCAGCTGCACAGGCTGCTGGCGCGACACCACACCAGTCTCCTCATCGTCGGGATCAGCCACAATCCGCGCAGGCCGCTGGCGGGCCACAACAGTAGTGCCTTCCTGTCCGCAGCAGTTACACCAGTGTGCCATCTGTAATGCAGTATGTGAGGACACTTTCTATCGTGGACCGATAGAAAGAGGTCATCAGCCGTTGTTCCACCTGATTTTTTCGCAGGACTCTAAGGAAATGAAGTCTCTGTTGGGCCTTGCCAACCACCAGGGACATGTTGTTTTTCCAGGTGAGATCTTGGCTAATAAGCACTCCCAAGAATTTAAAACAGGAAACCTTCTCCACACAGCCCCCTCCATATACAGTGGGGCAGTTCCTCTCTATGCTTCCGGAAATCCAGCACCATCTCCTTTGTCTCACTACTATTTAGATATAAGTTGTTTTTTTGAGTACCATGCGGATTCCTTCTGGACTTCTTCCCTGGATGCTGATTCGTGCCCTCAAGTTATGAGACCCAGCACTGTTGTGTCATCTGGAAACTTTATTATGATGTTGGATGGATCAGAGGATATGCAGTCATGTGTATACAGCGAGTACAGGTAGGGGCTGAGCACACAGCCCAAGGGGAGCCTGTGCTGAACTTCAGGGTGGAAGATGTAAAGGAACCAACCCTTACTGTTTACGGATGGTACCATCAGGAAGTCTTTGATCCAGTCACAAGTGAGGGGAGGGAAATTCAGGTCAGTCAGCTTTTCAATGAGAATGCCTGGTAAGATGGGTATTAAAGTTACCTGCAGATATGCAGATTAGCAAGATGTTCAAATGCAACTCAGAAAACCTGTGGCTTGGTACAAGTGATAACTCTCAGTCAGGGGTAAAATTTACTTACCTTCCCTACTGGTTCGCCAATGTGTGTGCACCATTGTCTGCACATGCACAAAGCCTTCTGTGCATGCGCAGAAGTTTAAAATGTCGCAAAAAAGGCAACGTCATGACGTCCACGCAGATGGGCAGAGCCTTCCGCAGCTACCGCTACTGGTTCGCCCAAGCCGGATAGAACCTGCTGGATTTCACCCCTCCTCTCAGTTCTTCTACTTGGTGGGTTGGTTAGTGTGTTCAGCAAATATTCCAGCATCCTCCCACACTAAATCAGCTTGGAAACGCAGAGATTAAAGATATTCACAAACTAATCCAAGTAGATTTAATCTATGCAAAGGTTTACAGTGGACAAGCCGGCCATCTGGGAAGTTTCTCTTCCACGTTTCAAAGAAGCTTGCACAAGAGAGATTTGCAAAATACCCAACCTATATTTTGTCTTAGCAGCTTTGGGTGGGGGTGGGGGTGGAAGAGGAGACCATCATGATGTACATCAAAATACTTTTGAGAAAAATATCTTGCATGGCATCTCAAAGATGTTAAAATAGACAAGGTGGTATAGCAGTTTTTAAACCAATTCTTGGAGGAAGGACAGTGAGAACAGTCAACCAATGGAACAGAAGTTGCCTTCGGAAGTTGTGGGAGCTTCATCACTTGAGACTTTCAAGAAAAGATTGGACTACCATTTGTCAGAAATGGTGTAGGGTATCCTGCTTGGGCAGCGGGTTGGACTAGATGACTTATAACCACGATGGCGAACCTATGGCACACGTGCCACAGGTGGCACACAGAGCCGTATCTGTGGGCACACGAGTGTTGCCCTAGCTCAGCTCCAGCACGCATGTGCGCACCGGCCACCTGATTTTCGGCCCTTCCGGGCCCACCAGAAGTCAGGAGATGGGCTATTTCCAGCCTCCGGAGGGCCTTCGGGGGCATGGGGAAGGCAGTTTTTGCCCTCCCCAGGCTGCTTGAAAGCCTCTGGAGCCCGGGGAGGGCAAAAAACAGGCCTACCAGGGCCCCCGGGCCATCACGTGCCAAAAGTGGGGGGAGCGCGGAAGATGTCACACACACATGTGCGGGGCACATTGAATTATGGGTGTGGGCATGCGCGCAAACCCCCCGCGCTCCCCCTACTTTTGGCATGCGACAACAAAAAGGTTAGCCATCACTGACCTATAAGGTCCCTTCCAAGTCTCAACTCTGTTAATCTGTTAGATGTTGGGCATATCTACCTTCTGAAAAAGGTAGATATATCAGGAAGTGTTGTGGAAGGACAGATCCAATCTGGCAAGGAAATTAATGGAAGACTATGACAGTCAAGAAGGAAAAAGCCAGAACTTTGTTAATTGTTCTCACTGTCAGAAAAAATTCTTGGTTGAATCTCTCCTTGTTCAGTTTCCACCCATTGTTCCTTGTCTGGCATTCAGGTGCTTTGAATAATAGCTTGATCCCCTCCTCTCTGTGGCAACCCCTCAAATATTGAAAACACTCCTATCATGTCTCCCCTGATCCTTCTCTTCACTAGACTAGCCACGCCCAGCTCCTGCAACCATTCTTAATATGATTTAGCCTCTAGTCCCCTAATCCTCTTTCTTGCTCTTCTCTACACTTGTTCTGTCCCCCGTCCTCACACAGACAAATGCAATATTAAACATGCCTGCCAATAATTTATTGTATAAACAGACCCGAATTCCTGGCAGACAACTGTAAAATGCCTGCCAAGTCCAATTAGTACTCCCAAAAAGCAGGAAAGGCCTTATCTGCAGTCCGTTTCCAAAGCGACAAATTATCCACAAGAGTTTAGTCCAAAAGATATCTGAGCCGAAGTGCAGGATTCACGATGTGACTCTTTAGAGTTTAAACTTTTGTCCGTCACAAAGCCTGCCGAGCAATCACGCCCCCTTTTATCCCTTGTGGGGCATGGCTCAGTGACTCAGCTCAATCCTTGGCCCTCCCACACCTCTTCTTTTGCTGCGCACGCTTCTCCCTCCGACGCTGCCTGGGATCAAGCCAGGATTCAGCATTATCACTCTCTATCAATGGGTGCTCCAAAGTGCCTTCCTCCTGGCCTTCGGATAGAACCTGAGGCATTGCCAGAGAGGAGGGTCCTGGAGAGGGTGGCCTTGTCAGTTCCTCCCCCTCACCTTCTGAGTCCTCTTCCTCCATGAGACAGGCTCGGGAGTCGGAGTCACAACAACACTCTTTCTAGAGTCTCAGCATCTTTTTTTATAGTGTGGTGACCAAAACTGGATGCCATATTCCAAAGGTGGTCTTACTAAGCCTTTCTAGAGTGGGATGGGCGCGTGGAGAAATTACTGCATAGTATTAATATTGGTAGTTGACTTTCGGATAAAAAATGGGCAGCCTTTTTCTACTGATATTTTTTCCCCAGGAAATGTCCTTGATTCACAGCTGACCAGGAGGTTGAAGGTGCTAAAAGTCTCAGATCTCACTTCCAACTTATGTTCTATAGCATCATGAGATTCTTGACTATGAGAATCCATTTCCCTTCTATGCAGGAAACCTAGGAACAAAAAAAGGACCCACCTTTAATACAGCACATGCTGAGAAGTTTCCTCTCTTAAGAATGACTCATATCCACTTGGTTATAACTGTGAATGTTTCCTTATTTAGTTCAAGCATTTGTACGTTGTTGAGCTTGAAACTCTGAAATAGGGGTTTATAGAATAATTACAAAGATGTGAAAATCCCTGTTCCCTTATTTATAATTACTTAACAGGGAAGGAAAAGGGAAATTGGAGGCCTGGAGTGAGTTGTACAAACAATGCGCCTCACTCTGAGTGTGTGTCTGTGCAGGTGCGTGATTCCTACCTGTTGAACTGTCAGTAAGACATTTGCTTAGAACAGGGGTCAGCAATCTGTGGCTCCGGAGCTGCATGTGGCTCTTTGGGCCCTCTGCTGTGACTTCCTGTCAGGTGATCCCACCACTGGCTGGTCCCGCCCCTCGCCCCCCCCCCAGTCACTCCTCGCCTGGCCTGAGAAGGTAAGGGTGAGTGGGGGGATGGAGAAGCAGCCCGAGCAGAGACAGAGAGATACAGAGAGACGGGGAGAGATACAGAGATACAGAGATACGGGGGGGGGGAAGGGAGGGAGGGGGGGAGAGAGAGATATGTCAAAAGGATTTTGTGGTTCCTGGTGTTTTTTAACAACTGGTTCTCTGTCCTAATGACCGGCTGGGTAGGCATGACTAGGAGGGTCATGTGATTGGTGGAAGTGAGTGACATCGAGTTGGCCACGCCCACCCAGGTTTTGTGGCTCCTGGTGTTTTCTTTTCTGTGGGAAACGGGTCCAAATGGCTCTTTGAGTATTTAAGGTTGCAGACCCCTGGTTTACAAGGTGGAACCAGTGGCGGGACTTGAATAACTTAACAACCGGTTCTCTGGCTGGGTAGGCATGGCCAGTTGGTCATGTGACTGGGTGGGTGACATCACTCATCAAACCCAGTCACGCCTCCTGGCCGCTCGCCTCAAAGGCAGAGGTAGGATTCAGCTGGTTGGGGCTAATCCCACCACTGGTTGGCCCCACCCCGCCTATTTTTCGGCCTGCTTTTTGGCTGTTTTTTTTTTTTTTTTGGCTTTTTTCAGGCTGTTTTTTGGACCATTTTTGGGCTGTTTTTCAGGCTGTTTTCAGGCCATTTTGGGGGCCGTTTTTAGGCTGTTTTATGGGCCATTTAGGGCCATTTTTTGGCCCAAAATCAGCCCAAAAAAGACCTGAGAAACAGTCTGAAAATGGCCCCAAAAGAGCCTGAAAATGGCCCCAAAAGAGCCTGAAAATGCCCCCAAAACAGCCTGAAAATGGCCCAGAAAACAGGCCGAAAAACAAGCAGGGGCAGGGCCAGCCAGTGGTGGGATTTGCCGGTTCACTGAGCTGTGTGGAATTTTAACTGCCGGTTCGCTTGAACCGGTGCGAACCGGCAGCAGCCCACCTCTGGGTAGAACTGTTTTACTTATACTTCTTCCTGCATTTTCACTGCATCTCCCAGCCATTGTTAATGTGATTTAAAGTCTGTCCTCATTCCATTATTTTGGCCAAACTGTGGATGGATCACTCTGGAAGGCACAGTATGCTGTTCCTGAGGAAATAAGATCAGCCTGCCAATGAAGCCAAGCATCTTTGTAAAGATTATAAATTGCTTGTGATTTGTTGAAAGTCAAGAAATGATCATGAAGATTTTTTTTAAAAAAATCCCAGACTAGTGACGTGTTTTCTACAGGAATGATGTAGAATGAACATACGAAAGTGCCTCGTCATCCTTGAGAGCAGTGTACAGTCTCATTCGGGTTTGTTTACAAACTCAGCCCACAGTTACGTTACCGAGAAGTTGGTTCCAGTAGTCAAGCCACAGCTGACACTTAAACGGGTTTGCATTTTTTAACGTAAATAAAGGAAATCACTCACGTGAAATACATTTAGAAAGACGGAGGGAAATTGGCTCAATACATTCAAACAAATGTGGTCATTTCCTATGATGCAACCTCAAACCACATTCGGGATGGAGCAACCGTCTGCCATCAATCCATTTCACATCTGCCTTCTCCTCCAATAGCAGCCAGACTTCGTGCGACACGCTTTTCCTAGTGTAACGTTCAGACTGCAACTTTATTCAGGATATTCATCCCGGATGTTCTGTCAGCCAAATTACGCCTCAAATCCAGGGTTTGCTCTTGCAAAACTCTCAATGAAGTCCTGTCTGCATTTAACCAATGACTGAGGGGAGTTCCTGAGGCAGCGTTTAATATTAACCAGAGAGATTTTACAAAAATTTACCAACAAACACATTTTTAATTAGATTCTTTTTTTAAAAATGTCACTTGTATTACTTGGGTAAGTAATTCAAGGCAGGGAACATACATGCTCCTCCTAGTCTTCCTCCTATTTTTCATATAATAAACAACAACCCTGTGAAGTAGGTTGGGCTGAGAAAGAGAGCGATGGGCCCAGCCAGCTTTCATGCCTAAGGCAGGACTACAACTCACTGCCTCCTGGCTTTTAGACAGTGGTGAGATTCAAATAATTTAACAACCTGTTTTCTGCCCTAATGATTGGCTGGGTGGGCGTGGCCATGGTGGGCATGGCCAGGTGGCCATGTTTTGGACCTAGTAGGACTCCCTGCAGCCCCTGGGAACAAAAACAGGCCAAGGGGGGGAGCCACCCCCCCCCCCCCCCCCCCCCCGTGCTCTGTTTTGGGCCTAGTAGGCCTCCCTGCACTTACCTGGGAGCCAAAATGGGGCACGTGAGGACTCCTGGAAGGGGAGGGCAGGGCCAGCCATCAATTTAACAACTGGTTTTCCAGAACCGGCCTGAACCAGCTGAATCCCACCACTGCTTTTAGGCCAGCGCCATAACCACCAGACCAAACTGGCTCTTTAATTAATTAATTAATTAATGAATTAATTTAATTTGTATACCGCCCTTCTCCCAAAGGCACTCAGGGCGGTGAACAGCCAAAATTAAAATACATACAATACAAAAGTTAAGATAATTAAAAGAGATTAAATCAATCGGCCTCCCAATTTAAAACCTCAAGTCTATAAAATTTAAAAATCCCATTAAAAACCATTTAGGCTAGGCCGGCTTGCTGGAATAAATAAATCTTCAGGGCCTTACAGAAGGTCCGGAGGTCCGGGATCAGTCGTATTCCACAAGGTAGCTCATTCCATAGGGCGGGTGCCCCCACAGAGAAGGCTCTCCCCCTGGGGGCCACCAGCCGACATTGCTTGACCGACGGCACCCTGAGGAGGCCCTCTCTATGAGAGTGTATTGGCCGGTGGGAGGTTATCAGTAGCAGCAGGCGGTCTCGTAGGTACCCTGGCCCTAAGCCATGGAGCGCTTTAAAGATGAGAACCAACACCTTAAAGCGCACCCAGAAGACCACCGGGAGCCAGTGCAGCTCGCGCAGGAGAGGTGTTACATGGGAGCGCCACGTCGCTCCCATAATCACCCGCGCAGCCACATTCTGGACCAGCTGGAGCCTCTGGGTGCTCCTCAAGGGGAGCCCCATGTAGAGAGCATTGCAGTAGTCCAGGCGAGACGTGACGAGAGCATGGGTGACTGTGCATAAGGAGTCCCGATCCAGAAAGGGGCGCAACTGGCGTATCAGGCGAACCTGATAAAAAGCCCCCCTGGCCACGGCTGTCATATGCTCTTCTAAAGACAGCTGTGTGTCCAGGAGGACACCCAAGTTGCGAGCCCCTTCTGTGGGGGTCAATGACTCGCCCCCAATAGCCAGCGATGGCACCAGCTGGCTATATTGGGACGCCGGCATCCACAGCCACTCGGTCTTGGAAGGGTTGAGTCGAAGCCTGTTCCTCCCCATCCAGACCCGCACGGCCTCCAGACACTGGGACATCACTTTGAGGGCATCATTGGAGTGGCCTGGGGTGGAGATGTACAGCTGAGTGTCATCAGCGTACAGATGGCATCGCACCCCAAAACCACTAATTACCACAACCATTAATTAAGATTTAATTAATACAGTTCATTATATTAGTTAATATAACTGGTTGTTATTTAAATAATTTAATTGTTTAATTAATTTAAGTCATATCTGCAAACAAAACATTGCCAGTCATATGCTCTCTGATATATTAATAAGAAATTAAGCCCTCCGTAAATAAGAGAGGTTTGCAATAGGACTTGGCAAAAGATAGAAATAAGATTTTATAGCAGTCTTCCCATGCTCGAAGGGCTATCGCAGGGAAGAGGGGATCAATTTATTTTCCAAAGCACCTGAGGGCATCACCAGAAGCAATGGCTAGAAGCTGATCAAAGGGAGATCCAGCCTGGAAATAAGGAGGAATTTCCTGACAGTGAGAACAATTATTTAATGAAACAACTTGCTTCCAGGAGTTATGGGTGGTCTTCAAGAAAAGATTGAACAGTCAAAATGGAGGATGAACAAATAAAAGACACAATGGTACAATGAGGAAATTTTTTTTGGCTATAACATAGAATTAGAGAAATGGCAAAATTTATGGGAAAGGAACTATAGATTAACAATGGCAACTTCTTATAAAGAAAATGTATATAAAATGTTTCATAGATGGCATTTACCACCTGCAAGGTTAGCTAAAATGTTTAAAAATATGTCTAGCAAATGTTAGAAATGCAATAAAAAAAAACGGGCACATTTTATCATGTGTGGTGGACTTACGTTAAAGCAAGAACATTTTGGGCAAAAATACACAGACGGCTAGAAAAGATAATAGGGAAACATGGAGACTTTAAACCTGAACTATTTTTATTAGGGATGAGATCAGAAAAAATTGATAAGAAAAGTATGCATTTAATATTACATGTCTTAACGCCAGCGAGGATTATCTTTGCACAATATTGGAAAAATGAAGAAACATCGCAAAGATGAAGAGATAATTAAGAAGATACTAGACTGTGCAGAAATGGATAGACTTACATTGAAAATCAAACAGAAAGAAGACATAAAATATTATCAAACTTATTTTACCAGTGGTTGGAAAAAAGGGAGTGGAGATTAAGAATAAAATCTGTATTGTTAAGCAAATTATATACCCAAGCAACACAATGTTTATTAAGCACTAAAAATGTAATTAATAGAAAATTAATAAAATAATAA